ATAATAAAGTATATTATGGTTCCTTTTATAGTTTAGCCTACTATGTTTTTTTATATGTTTAGAATAAATTATAAAAGATTAACTGACAGATCCGAGCATAAACCTTAAAAAATTTAAAGGTTTATAACAATAAAAAGAGTAAAGCGTTTATTAACTAGTAATAAACTTAAAAGTAAAGAGAAAGTGGAGTAAAATATTATCATATAGTTTGCTGAAAAATCACTTTTATTGTCAACAGTAAAGATGTGTTGATAAATCACAAAATTGCAAACCTTGGTAGATTAAAAGAATCTGGAGAAGCCAAATACATAGCACACTCTGGAAATGTATATAACATTATTCTAAGAGCTCTTAATAGACCGTCTTTAGTAATTATATCCATATGTCGGCCCAGGGGTGAGGAGTGATGGTTTATACACTGCCATACCTTTAACTAATTACATAAATTTTGAAAAAAACACACACATTTTTGATATCTATTTGTTTGAAGCGTGAATTTTTCCACCACAAATCCCATTGATCTTCATTGTGAAAATTCTTATTGAATTCGATCATTCCGAATTCAATAAAAAGTTCTCTTAAAAAGCTGTTTCCTTTATGATCAACTTTAAAAATTTTAGCCATGTTGTAGGTAAAAGGAGTTTATTTATTTACAAAGGAATTTAATAGCATTCTGGCATTAATTCTCTCCAGGATACGCCCTAATGTGTTTCCACGGAACTGAAAATAAATTTAAGAATAGCACAAATAATAGTTTTAAAAACCTACCCTTTATCTTATATAAATATATTTATTTTATATAAAAATAGTTAAATGTGTTTGATGTGTTATATATTTTTAAATACTAATTAATTTAAACTTTGTATTTTTAATTTATAATTATTTAGATATTTGAATTAATTATTGTGTTTTTATACATTAAAACATTATCTGACAATTTGCTTAAATCACATGGAATCGTTTTCCCAAGGCACCCTCCCCTTTGGAGATGATCAGGTTTTATCGGTCTTTTATTATTATTAAAGGCATCGCAAGAAAAGCAGAAGGCTGATGCCGAAAAAGAAAGGAAGGAGCTAAGAGATTCTGTTCTCTCGAGAGTTCTTGATCAATCTGCACGTGCAAGACGTATGTCACTTACTTTTATTTGCCAGTCAATACACTTAAAATGACTAAACCAGAGCTTGCCCAACAGGTTGAGACAATGCTTTTCCAAATGGGCTGTTCGGGGCGAATACAAAGCCAGGTTAGTTCTTCAGAATGCCATGAAACTTGTTTATTTTTCTTCCAGACTCGCATTTATATCCTAACTATTTAGCAAAATGATAAGCGTACTTAACCTTAT